GTGACAGTATGTTGTAAGGGATCTGAAGCCAGAAGACTTGGGTTTAATGTCTAGTTCTGCCTTTTACTGACTCGTGCCATTGGGTAAACTGCTTAACTTCTCTATGCTTCAGAGTTCTGGGCTCTAAAAAGTGTATAATTATATCAGCATTACCTCAGAGGGTTATTTTAAGGTACTACATAGTGAATCACTGTGTAAACCATTAAGCTCAATAGAAAATGTAAATTACTACTGTTATTAGTGTTCTTTGAAAGTATCATATATCCCCTTGCTGAGGATGTATTCAGATATACATTTATGTCCTTAACCACTTGGTAGGTTGTTTAGTGATCCCAAGTGATTTTATTATTTTTTTATCTTTCCGTAGAGCATATCATGTTCCAAGTGGGAAAATATTAGCTGTAAAGGTAAGTGCTGGATAAGTTTTATGAAATTCATGAAATTTTTGATGCTCTCTCTGCCCCCAAGCCCCCTTAGCTTGAGTCACAGGTATTGTCAAAGAAGAAATGAAGTGCTTTAAGATTTGGGTGGTGGGTGATGGAAGCTCTGGCCCTGTTGTGACATTCACGTCTTTTAAGTGCCTCCGAATGCTCAGTTGTAAGCTCCTCGAATTGTGATTCTTCTCATCATCGTCACCTACACTTCTTTCTGTGTTCCCGGCTCAGTGGCATCACTGTCTTCCTCATCTTACAGTTCAAAAACTTAGTAGTTATTCACTCTTTTCTTTCCTTCATCTGCCACATCCTGTAAGTCACCACATCCTGTCAGAAATTTCCCCTGAAATGGGTCCATGTGTCACTTTCTTTCTATTCTCATTGCTTTGGCCTTGTATCAGGCCCACATACCTCCTACCTGGACTTTTATAATAATTTCTTCACTGTACCTTTCACTCTGCCACTGGAGTTGAGAAGTTGAATCCCCGATCTGACACCCCTCTTAGCACCCCTCTTCCCCCAGCCCCAATAGTGTACAACATAAAGCCTATGATGTCTGCCTCGCTTCTTTACATCTTTATGGCATCCTGAGATACCCTAACACCGCAGCCCGAACAGAGTGAAGCTGCGCGTAACTCAGGGATCTTCTAGGCAACTACCTTAGATGCTCCTTACTTGTTTCCACTGTGTTCATGGTCACACCCCATCCCTGCCGTACTTCAAGATCCCAGTCCTGCCCGAGCTACTTTGGATTTAATCTCTGGCATTGGCTGCTGGTGCTTGATTTTCCCATCATTTTATCTCAGATTTCCCTAATGGAGTCTCTTGAATTGCACCTCTGACTGAAACCTTTATTACCTCAAATTAACTCCATAGAACTCCACTTCCAAACTGGGCTTTGCTAGACTCTATATTGCTATTATCTTTAATCCTTAAAACTATAAAGTAAGCCTATTATTTTAGATTTGAGGACACTGAGACTCAGAAAACTGAATTGTCCAAGGTCACACAGATGGAAGTGCCAAGGCCAAGATTTAAAACAAAATCCATCAGCCTCCAAAGCACATGTTTTCTGCTATACCCTGTAGCCTTTATATAAGTTATTACCATTGCCCATCCCTTTGATTTCCACCTATCCTTTCAAGGTCCATCTCTTCCAAGATTCCTTCTTAGCTAACCATAGTGAGAATTCAGTCTCTTTCCCCAATACTTGCATAGTATATATTTCTGTATCTTTTTATCTTATCTAGGAAACTAAGAATCAGAACACTTAAATTGCAATTGGTTGTACCTTTTAGTAAAGTTAAACCAAAACTGAGACTCAGGTCTTCCATACCACACTTAATACAGCACCTAGAATGTGTTACGTGTATTATCAAGTCTAGTTTTAACAACTCAAATAGCTTTTGGTGAGGCACTACCACAGAGCTCCTTCTTGGGATATTTTCTTTGATATTCCAGCCAAACTATTCACAGAATTGTAGAATTGAAAGAGACCTTAGAGATCATCTGTCATGGCCCACATTTTAAAGAGGAGGACCCTGGAGTCCAGACAGTTTCCAGGGTAGGTCCTGTAGAGGCCAGGTTCCACCTCAGTCTTCCCCTGAGTTCACTGAGTACAGCTCTGTGGTACCAGCTCGTCATTGGGTTGTTCTTTCTGTACTCTCTGAGCTCCCTCTTCATTCAGAGGACACCTCCACCAACTCCAACACTATTTTCCTTTTTATCTAGTTATCTGTTTGTTCCTCCGATGTCAAAACTTTTAGATTGTTGTCAGTGGTGTATTTAAAGACAGTCAACTTTAGGTTATTTATTCCAGGAGAGGGGAGCACTGCTATAAATCACCCCCCAAAACTTACTATTTGGCCTTGCAAGTGCATTATAATTTTTCATAATTTCATACATTTTGAATTATGTTTAACCTAGGCTGATATTAAAATTCTTCTGCATGATTATTTAGTTGGGTGTGGCTAACAGTTGTTTCTGGAAAGGATTAAACGCAATTTTAAAGAAAGGACACATTTAAAAAAGAGCTGTTAAAGTAGAGACTTTCAATAAATGAAAACAGTAGGGCTTTACGAATATACTATTCACTAGACCTGACCATAAAACTGAGCTACAGAGCAGGGACTGTATTGTATTGTATCCCTCGATTCTATAAAATCACATACTAGATGCTCAAACTGAGTTGAATGAATGAATGATTTGAGTAGATATGATTATTGTGTTTAAACTTTTTGTTTAGCCCTGAGCTTCTTGGCAGTGAAGGCAAAAACCATTTTTGCTTATATAATAGTCATATCCTAAGAGAAAGAAATGTATCATTTCTTTAAAACAGGCAGAGTTTTTTTAATTAAATCTTAGGAGTGTTATTTAGTTTCCAAATATTTGGGGATTTTTCCAGATATCTTTCTGTTACTGATTTCTAATTTAAATCCATTGTGGTCAGGGAACATACTTTGTATAACTGGAATTATTTTAAGTTTATTGATGTTTATTTTTTGGCCCAGAATATGACTTATCTTGGTAAGTCTTCCCTGTGCACATGAAAAGAATGTATAGTCTGTTGTATACGATGTAGGATAAATGTCAGTTAGATTAAGTTGGCTGTTAGTGTTGTTCCAAATTTCTGTATCTTTACTGATTTTTTATCTACTTGTCCTATCAACAAGAAAGAAGGGTGTTGAAATCTGCAGGAACAATTGTGTATTTGTCTATTTTTTCTTGAAATTCTATCATTTTTTACTTCATATTTTTTGAAGATCTGTTAGGTTATTTAGGATTGTTATGTCCTCTTGATGAATTGGCCCCTTTATCGTTATGAAGTGATCTTCTTTATCCATGGTAATATTCTTTGCTCTGAAATCAACATTGTCTGATGTTAATATAGCTACTCCAGCTTTACTTTGACTAGTGTTAGCATGATACAGCCTTTTACTTCTAACCTGTTGTATCTTTATATTTGGGATGGATTTATTGTAGGCAGCATATAGTTGGGTCTTGTATTTTAATCCAGTCTGATAATCTCTGTTTTTTAATTGAGATATTTAGATCATTTACATCTCATATGATTATTGATATGGTTGGATTTAAGTATATCAATTTGCTCTTTGTTTTCTATTTATTCTGTCTGTATGTCCTTTTTTTAAGCAGCTGCTTTAGAGTTTATAGTATACATCTTTAATTTATCATAGTCTACCTTCAAGTAATTTTAATTTATTTTTTATTTATATATTTTTGGCTGTGTTGGGTCTTTGTTGCTGCATGTGGGCTTTCTCTAGTTGCAGCGAGCGGGGCTACTCTTCATTGCCGGGCACAGGCTTCTCATTACGGTGGTTTCTCTTGTTGCGGAGCACAGGCTCTAGGCACATGGGCTTCAGTAGTTGTGGCGCGTGGGCTCAGTAGTTGTGGCGCACAGGCTTAGTTGCTCCGCGACATGTGGGATCTTCCCGGACCAGGGCTCGAACCCGTGTCCCCTGCATTGGCAGACGAATTCTTAACCACTGTGCCACCAGAGAAGCCCTACCTTCAAGTAATATTGTGCCACTTTACCTATAGTGTGAGAACTTTACAATGGTATACTTTCATTTCCCTTATCGTCACCTTGGTTATCGTACATTTTACTTACTCATAAACTCCAGAATACATTGTTACTGCTTTTGCTTTAGACAGTTGTCTTTTAAAGGCATTTTAAATGTAAGAAAATATTTATATTTACTCACATTTTTTCAGTGCTCTTTATTCTCTTGTGTCGATCCAGATTTCTGTCTGGTATCATTTTCCTTCTGTCTGCAGGACTCCCATCTTTTACATTTCTTATAGTGCATGAGTGTCCTGGCAATGAATACTTTCAGCTTTTGCATGTCTTGAAAAGTGTATATTTGACTTTAAATTTTGGAAGACATTTTTGCCAGATACAGAATTCTAGGTTAATTGTCCATTTCTTTCAGTAGTTTAAAGATTTTGTTTCACTGTTTTCTGCATTGCATTCATTCTTACTATCATTTAAAATCTTTATTCCTCTGTACATTAGAACTGACGTCTTTTCTGACTGCTTTTCTCTTTTTTAAAAATCTTTATTGGAGTATAATTGCTTTACAATGGTGTGTTAGTTTCTGCTTTATAACATAGTGAATGAGCTATACATATACATATATCCCCATATCTCCTTCCTCTTGCATCTGCCTCCCCCGCCATCCCACCCCTCTAGGCGGTCACAAAGCACCGAGCTGATCTCCCTGTGCTTTGCAGCTGCTTCCCACTAGCTAGCTATTTTACATTTGGTAGTGTGTATATGTCTGCTTTTAAGATTTTTTTATCACTAGTCTTATGCAATTTGATTATGGTGAGCTTTTATGTAATTCTCCTCATGATTCCTGTACTTAGGATTTGTTGAGATAGAAATTTGTGGATTTTTAGTTTTCATTAAATTTGGAGAAATTTTAGCCATTATTTCTTCAAGTATCCCCCCCACACACACATTGGGGAACTTAAATTGCATTTATATTAGGTCACTTGAAGTTGTCCCACAGCAAAATGATACTCTGTTGTTTGTTTATTCTAGGCTTTTTTTTCTCTCTAATGTTTCACTTTTGAATAGTTTCTGTTGTCAAATGTTCAGGTTTTTGTCCTTTCATCTGCATTTTCTATTCTGTTATTAATTTTGTTCTGTATATTTTTCATTTCAGACGTTGTACTGTTTATCCCTGGAAGTTTACATGGGTCTTTTTTACATCTTCCATGTCTCTACTTAACATGCTCCATATTTCTTCTACCTTCTTGCATATGTGGAATATAGTTATGATAACTGAATTAATGGTCTTGCCTATTAATTCTATGATAAGTGTCATTTGGGGGTCAGTTTTGTCTGATTGCTTTTTCTCCCCATTTGGGGTTGTATTTTTTAATACCTTATAATTTTTTACTGGATGCCAGTCGTATGGCATAGGCTCATTCCTGTAAATATTCTTGAG